CAGGAGGGTGAGAGAATTCACCAGAGCCAGAGCAGAGAGCAGAGCAGGCAGAAGGACCAAAGTACAATGCCGAGGAGAGCAGCGGGCCGCAAGGGGAGGTCTGCGCGCCATGCGGGACCCTCCTCCGGTGGCCGGGGAGCAGCCGGGGATCGACCCAGCGCTCAACCGCTGCGCCACCGGGGAGGCCCCAAGTAGTTCTTTTTAATGTCTGCTTTATCTTCCTTATTGAGCCAATGGTTGTTGAGAAGCATGTTGTTTAGTATTCACATTTGAGGGTTTTTTTCCAGTTTTCTCTTTGTGGTTCAAAATCTTATAGTATTGTGATAAAATATTTGGCATGATTTCAATCTTCATATTTTGTCTATTCTTGCTGTAGTCCTCATTTTGTCCATCAACTATTTTCCTTATTTCACTAAGCATAGCTAATATTGTCACTATGAACTCTTCTTCAGGTAAATTACCTAGCTCTATTGTATTTAGATTTTTCCCTGGGGTTTTATTTTGTTCCCTCACTTGCGGTATATTCCTGTCTCTTCACTTTGTTTGAAGCCATATGTTAATTTGTATGGGTTAAGTTAAATAGCTTTCTTCCCTTAATTTGGTGTGATTGGCCTTTTATTCAGATTATAAACTGCAGGGTATAATACTAAACTGCTTGCCCTGGAAAATACGGTAAGAAGACTGGAGCTCCAGCACCGACACAGGGTAGAGGCAAGGGCAGCGGAAAGCGAAGAGGTTACTGCTAGAAACTACCAAGAGCTCAAGCCTCTCTGGGAGGCTACAAGTGCCCTTGTTGGGGCACGCGCTGGGGGCATCTGATCTGTAATGACACTCTCCTTTAGGCCAGTTTCTCAGTCAGAGCTTGGCCTGCAGCTTTAAGCTAACATTGACTCTTCAGCTCTTTTCTGCAAATTCTTAAATCCACAAATCTTCCTGAGGGGATGCGAAACTCTTGGTTCCTGGTTGTGTGTGCTCCCCTCTCTAATGAAATCCCCAGGAATAGGGTCCCAGATATGAGAATGAGGTCTTCAGTCACCAAAACGAAACGGCTACATAAACACAAGCCATTCTTGGATTAAGCTGAGCCAACTGCAGTAACTGAAATTATGTTACAATTTTTCTTGCCCTCTTTGACACTGTTGTATTTTCCCCTAAAAATGTTGTCCCTGCAGTCATCTGGTCCTTTTCAGAGATGTTGTTCTTATATATTATTTTGTTGTATGTGTGGGTAAGAGGTTAGCCTGATGTCTTTAATATTCTACCAACTCACCAGAACTCCACAACTTGGAAAGCTTTTACAAACCAATATATTTGTAACTTAGGCTCACATTTCATTTCCCAGGCGACTGCCAATGATTTCATTTAAAATTACAAGAAGGAACAAGTCTCAGTACATTCTCATGAATAACTACAATCAACTTAATTACATGTTGATTTAGCTCAACTCCCACATTCATAACAAGTTTGAACTAGGAAGGTATCATCATCCATTAATAGTCAAATACCAAGGGAATATGGTGATGGTTCATGGATGATATGGTGGTCGGAGAACTATGGGGACAGCAACAATATAAGAAAAAAAGTAATTAAAAAAAAATTCAAATACCAACTGCTAGGAATGATAATAGATTCTATCTCATGTGTTAGATATGTTTCTCACCTGATCAAAGATCTCATTTATGCAAACTTCCTCTCTTATTCCTGTATATCAATTTCTTTTTCTCTACTGGATCATTTCATCAACATTACAAATATTTTCATATTTCCCACCTTAAATAAAATTCTTCCCTGACCAAATAGTCCCAACTATCTTCATTTTCCTCTCCTATCATGCTTTCATTTCTTTTTTTTTTTTAAACAGAGGCATGTTTTATTTATTTATTTGTTTGTTTGTTTTGTTTATACATGCATTGGGTACAGTCAGAAGCGCGGGAGGGTGAGAGAATTCACCAGAGCCAGAGCGGGGAGCAGAGCAGGCAGAAGGACCGAAGTACACTGCTGAGGGGAGCAGCGGGCGGCAGGAGAGGTCTGCGCGCCATGTGGGACCCTCCTCTGGTGGCCGGGGAGCAGCCGGGGATGGAACAGGCGCTGCAGAGGCCGCGGGCAGCTTCGCAACCCAGCCCTCAACCGCTGCGCCACCGGGGAGGCCCTCATGCTTTCATTTCTACCACTCCACAGAAAGTGTTTTCATCGAGGTCACCAGCAATCTCCACATTGCAAAATTCAATGACTAATTCTCAGTTTTCATCTTATTTGACCTACTGGCAGCACCTGACATAGCTGGTCATCTTCTCTCCCTGACACATTTTTCGTCCTTTGCTTTACAGAGACACCACTTCCCTCTTGGTTTTCCTCTTTCCCCACTGGTACTCCGTCAATATCATCCTTCCTTGCTCATCTTCGACCTAACATTTCAATAAAATAAGTTTGCCTGAGGACTTAGTCCTTGAATCTTCTTCAAAGACAATAGTCTATTTAGAGTTTACGTGTGATATACACCCCAAAATAGTGCCTATTTCTATCAATAATCTGGCCCTTCTTCCTTGTACTCCAGATTCCTATATCTAGCTGCCCATTTAAAATCTAATTAGGGGGCCTCCCCGGCGGCGCAGCGGTTGAGCACTGGGTTGCGAAGCTGCCCGTGGCCTCTGCGGCGCAGGTTCGATCCCCGGCTGCTCCCCAGCCACCGGAAGAGGGTCCCACATGGCGCGCAGACCTCTCCTGCCGCCCGCTGCTCCCCTCAGCAGTGTACTTTGGTCCTTCTGCCTGCTCTGCTCCCCGCTCTGGCTCTGGTGAATTCTCTCACCCTCCCGCGCTTCTGACTGTACCCAGTGCTTGTATGTATAAATAAATAAATAAATAAAAAATAAAATCTAATTAATCTCACTATTAACATAGTCAAAACCAAATCCTATAATTAGAAACTTTTCAAATCTACTTCACACCTACACCTCGGAGCTCCTCCCTCAGTATGAAAGCAATTCCACCCACTCAGTTTCACAAGCAAAAGTTAAAGTCATCCTTGACTTTTTATTGGTCCTAGCTTTGAAATACGTCCAGAAAACACTGCTTCCCATTACCTTTCCCACAAGTCACCAGAGTCACCATGTCATTTTTTTATACCACTGTAATAAGTCTCCTAAAATGGATTCCAGTTCACACAAAAGAGAACATCCATGCATCAGTTAGAGTAATCTTTATCAAACCTAAATCAGAACATGTCACTCTTCTATTCAAAACTTATCATGACTTTCCATATAACTGGGACCAAATATCAAATTTTTACAAAAGTCTACATTCTCTCCATGATCTCCCTGCTACCTATCTCATCCACTACCTTTCCCGCAAAGCTCCAGCTACACTGGCCTCCGTGTTTTTCCTCAAATACACTAAGCATATCCTGCCCTCACTGTTCCTCAATCTGAGACCCTCTTGCCTTAGGCATCTGCCTAACTGCTTTCATACATCAGTTGAGCTGAAAATGTTACCTTATAAGGGAGACCTTTTCTTACTATCCTATATAAACTAGCAAGACCCTACCCCTATTGTCACTCTCATTCTCTCATAGGTTTTACTTTTCTTCTCAGCACCCATCAGCATCTGACAAAGAATATAATTATTTAATTATTTACTGCCTGTCTAAGTACCAAAATTCAAGTACCACGAGAGTAATGATTTTGATAAGTTAGAAAAGTAGAACAAAAAAGAGCACCATGTATTTAGCCTGATGCAAAGATATAAAGACTAGTTCATTTAATTTTCAAAGAATACAGGTGGAGGTGCTATTATTATTGCAATTTCACCAATGAGACAGTCACAACAGATTAATTAACTTGCATGTCACACAGCTTGTAAGTGGAACAGTCAACCTCCTTTACCTATTAAAGAGACCAAATTAGTTCATACAAATAGACTATTTACAAAATGTATGCCACATAAAATATCTAGCAATATGGAATACTTATCACTTGCCAAACATTAATTAGCTTCTTTATGTGAATATATTCATTTAACACTCATATTGTTTGATAAGTGGTTGCTATCAATATTTTCACTGTTGGGCCTCCCTGGTGGTGCAGGTGGTTGAACGCAGCGCTGTGAAGCTGTCCCCAGCCTCAGTGTTGGTTCAATACCAGACAGTTGCAGAGATACCCACATCATGCAGAAGACCTCTCCTGTCTCGCCTGCTGCTCCCCTCAGCAGTGCATTTCAGTCTGCCTGTTCTGTCCCCCACTCTGTCTCTGATGAATCCTCTCACCCTCCCACACATCTGGCCTGTACCTCGGTTATTGTATAAATAAAGCCTTAAAAAAAATATTTTCACTATCATTTATCAGGGTACTAATTTTAACTGAATAAAAACTGTTGCTATAAAAGAAATGACAAGCTCCAAACTTGACTCTTCTCAGAAAAATGTGAACAAGTGCTTAAAAAACAATGAGTTTTGAAGATTAGTATTGGAAACAAAGTCAAAAATTAACTGAATTCATACCATACAGACACACATCATTAACTGTATACTTGCCAACGTGTAGTCTAAAAACTTCTCTAACACTTAGAGACAAAACAGTCACAGATTTTCTTCATTATGAAAAACTACTTCTCCTTCCAAATGTAGTTGCTACTCCTTATTACTGTATTATACTAAATGCAACTTTTACATCACATGTCAAAAATTACCTGAATTAAAAAGACCGTTCTAATGTTTGAAATAGAATATTGACGTAAAGCCAAGTACTACTGAAATCACCAAATTTACCTAACAAAGAACCCTCTGCTTTAAAAGTCAGTTTTATTACCAAACTAAGTTCTGAAATTGCTGCATCTGAAAAAAATAATCAATTCCTTTATCCTTATGTTAAAGTGAAAGTCAAAAAAAAAAAATACTGAATAATATATATAAAATACATATTCAGTTCAATATATACTTGATTTTTAATTTTCAGTTCAACCTGGACATGTCCATTCTGTATTAATAAATGACATATGAAAAGACTTACGGTGCAATAATGGCTCTAGCAGGTCTTTTTGTAGACTGTACTTGTGAAAGCCAACCTTCTAGCTGTGCATTGAGCTGTGGTCCTACAAAAAAAAGGGAAACCAAAGTCAACAAAGTAATGTGTTATAGAAAGTCATACATGACACAAAGGCCTCACTGAATTTATTAAAACAGTTTAATGGGCAGTGAAATCAACAGTTTGAATGTTAATGTTTGAAACTTAGCCAAATACAAATACCGTAGCAAGCCAAGTACTGATTAAACAAAATCTGCTTTTGTCCATGTACTTATTTTTTTTTTTTTAATTTTTTTTTTTATAGAGGCATGTTTATTTATTTATTTGTTTGTTTGTTTGTTTTGTTCATACATGCACTGGGTATAGTCAGAAGCGCGGGAGGGTGAGAGAATTCACCAGAGCCAGAGCAGGGAGCAGAGCAGGCAGAAGGACCGAAGTACACTGCTGAGGGGAGCAGCGGGCGGCAGGAGAGGTCTGCGCGCCATGTGGGACCCTCCTCTGGTGGCCGGGGAGCAGCCGGGGATCGAACCGGCGTCGCAGAGGCGGCGGGCAGCTTCGCAACCCAGCGCTCAACCGCTGCGCCACCGGGGAGGCCCTCCATGTACTTATTTAAAACCAAATTCATTTCAGAACATTCCCAACCTACTATCTAAGCTGCCTTTTAACTCAGTCATCAGTAATCTGTGTTTTTCCAAAATATCATCCCCTCCGTACCATTTAGAGAATTAATGATGCAATATTTCTCTTAAATATGTTCCATTACTGCATCTGGGACTCTTGTCCAAACAACTGACACCGCTGCCCCATTCTAGATGCCATGCCTTATTGATTTAACCAAAATGTGTCACCAGAAAATATAACTGTAACAGATTTCAGAAGACCACCCAGAAATGGCAGGTAATCCCCTCCACAAAGAGTCCATCAATGGTATGTTAAACTGAAACAGTAATGAGTTGCAAGTGTCTAGTCACACCAGCGGGAATAATTATTGAGTTCATACATTGTAGACAGTGACAACTATTTCATAACTGACAATGATTTTAAGATGACATTGATTCTAAAACTCAGAATCTCAGTTTCAAAAATGTTAAAATACAGGAAAATGTATATCTCAAAATCAAATACAGTAGCCCTATGAAAACCACACTTCTTACAACGTTCTGATATATTTTATCTCAATGCAGAACAGTGAATTTAAAAATTCATCAAAGACAAGCATTGGAAATCACTCTTTTCACTACAGTGAAATGTTTGAGAAGCTTTACCATAATCTCATTTAATTGTAAAAATAAATAACATTTCAGCAATTCTCCCCCAATCCTTCCCTCATGATAACACCCACTGACTCTGAATTAGTTAGCCATTTACAAAACTTAGTATCTTATTTTTAGATACCTCTCAAGAGATGCTATTTGTTTTTATGTATCTATGATAGGGTTCCTCCATACACTTGGGAACACAAGAATTGTGACAATGAATCTGACTCAAACCCCACCAGGGCAATAATAGGTATCAAAACAAAAACAAAACAAAGTACCTTGCTGTAAAGAACCACTGACTGTTTGCCCTTGATATAAACCTCAAAGGTCAGGTCAAATCCAATTTGTCTAGGATTCCATTAATTTATTGCAACACTGAAAAGATATATTTATAGATTTCAATAAACTGGTTCAGAATGCAATTGCACTGAGGTAATCAACCATCCAAGTGAATAACCTTTAGTGTATATCAACAAACTCATATTTGGCCATCCAGAAATCACTTTTCTACCCACTCATACACGCTCTCAAAGTTTTCATATGGTAAATACCTATTCTACAAGCATCTTATAGCTCAAAGTGGCTGCAAATTTGGAGGATCAAAGTGTACTTCTCCAACAGAGTCATTTACAAAAACTAAGCAAGCAAAAAACTAAGTAAGCATCGATCCTTTTAAAGAGTCTATTAATTTGTATTCTCTATTCCTATTCTGTTTATAAACAAACATGCTGGCCATATAAATGATGACACTAAATCCCTTGATAAATGCATGGTCACAATATCTCAAAATATTGATCAAGACATTTATTTTTGTTGTCTATTTTATTAAAAAAAGTTCAATATAGAAAATCTGGGTATTACATATGAGGAAGGGGAAAAATTATAAATTCACTAGAAGTGAAATTACTATGTAAATTCCATTATCAAAGTATTTCGTGAACATGAATTAATAAACTCTTAAAAGAATCAGTGCTAAAAAAAAAAAAAAAAAAGAAGAAGAATCAGTGCTAAACCTGCTTGCATACTTCAGCTTTGTAAATGACATGGAGGGAGAAGTACAGTGTGATCCTGCAAACTTACACCCTTTTTATTCATGTGAAGTAGAGCTTTTTTAAAATCTTCAATACACATTCAAAATAGGATGCAATATTGCATTCATTTATAATTATGACCATGTATATGACAATGCCTATTTCACGATAATTCACTAATCATCTCAAAATATTTTAAAAGATTACGCCATTTAATTTAACCCATGACCCCATCTGATATAAATTAAAATCTAATGCTCTACTTCAATTATATTTAGCATTTCAAAATAAATTAGATATCCTATTTCTTTAATGAAAGCAACTTTCATTTCCAAGAATAATGTAGTCTGAATTCTTAGGTACTGACTTTCATGTTGGACCATGCAACAGCAACATGATTTTTGAGTCTTCTTGACAGCCACAAGATATCCATTACTAAAGTTTAGCAAACAATTACCATCCATCTGCCTTTACAGAAAACAAGTCAAATTCAAAGCCAAGCCCGCTGTGCTGCATTATGCTGCTGTTTTAAATTACTCACAATCCTAAAGATTTTTATATGCTCCTACCATTTAGCCTTTTTAATTAATGGGGTGTGATTTTCTGTCCTTTTAGAAGCCACAATTTTTTCTGATATAATAGTCAAAAAGGGCCTCCCCAGTTCGATCCCCGGCTGCTCCCCGGCCACCGGAGGAGGGTCCCACATGGCGCGCAGACCTCTCCTGCCGCCCGCTGCTCCCCTCAGCAGTGTACTTCGGTTCTTCTGCCTGCTCTGCTCCCCGTTCTGGCTCTGGTGAATTCTCTCACCCTCCCGCGCTTCTGACTGTACCCAGTGCATGTGTAAACAGAACAAATAAATAAATAAATAAACATGCCTCTATTAAAAAAAAAAAAAAAAAAAAAAAAAGGGCCTCCCCAGTGGCACAGCGGTTGAGAGCTGGGCTGTGAAGCTGCCCGCAGCCTCTGCAGGACCAGTTCAATCCCTGGCAGCGCGCAGACCTCTCCTGCTGCGCCCACTGCTCCCCTCAACAGTGTACTTCGTCAGTCTGCCTGTTCTGCTCCCCGCTCTGGCTCTGGTGAATACTCTCCCATGCTTCTGACTGTCCCCAGTGCTTGTATAAATAAATAAATCTTTAAAAAAAAAAAAAAAAGTCACCTAACAGACCAGTATCACCTGGTATCTTTTATCTAATGAGATCTCTAGGTCTTACCTCAAATCTTATGTCACAACAGTCTCCAGGGATGGCAACAAGGAGTTTTTATCGAGCATTTAACAAGCTCTGGTATAGATTAAAATGTGAGGCCCACTACCAAAAAGACTTCATTTACACATGCTATATGAATGAATGTACCTAACAAACTCTGGGAGATTTATAACTAAGATTTTTTTTTTTAACAATAAAAGAATCACATAATCTATAAATCAGCATCATATGTATGCATAAATTTTTCCCTCCAAATTACTTTGCAGTTGTAACTGACCTCCACTATTTCTTAAATTTTACAAGTTTATTTTCAACAGTGTTTTCTAGCTTTTCACTTCCTTCACTGCCTTTCTAGCTTTTCCACTCAAATAATTCTGATGACAAAGAAAAATGAACTCAGATTTTCAGAAACTGGGTGTGATACACAACTCAAATTCCCTTTTAAATCTTCTGTTTAGTTTAAAAAAAAAAAATCATGAGACTGTAGTGAACTGAACACAATATAGTAATTCCAAAACATTCATATTCCTATCTGTAATTCAAATAAAAGTTTCAAGAAGGTATACGACATCAGTCCTCTAAGTCAGGGTCAAGAGAGGGAACTATGAACCATGATCATAAAAGGCAACCACCCAAAATAATACAAATATTTAAAGTTGGGTCCCCAGTGTTTCCTTTAAAAAAAAAAAAAAGATTTATTTATTTATGCGTACAAGAGCTGGCATACAGGCCAGAGGTGCGAAGGGAGAGTATTCACCAGAGACAGAGTGGGGAACAGAACAGGCACACCAACTGAAATACACTGCTGAGGGGAGCAGCGGCTGAGTCAGGAGAGGTCTGCTGTGCCATGTGGGTTGCTCCCTGGCCAGGGATCGAACTCATGCTGCAGTGGCTGCAGACAGCTTCATAGGTTGTGTCTTAACCCCTTGCACCACCAGGGAGGCCCCCCAGTGCTTCCTTAATGCACATCAAGCGGGAATTAGTTTCTTCCAAAAGGCAGTTAGTATTTTTTTTTCTATTTTTTTGTTAATGTTTCTCTTTTTTTTTTTTTTAAAGATTTATTTATTCATGCATACAAGAACCGGGGTATAGGCCAGACATGCGGGAGGGTGAGAGGATTCACCAGAGACAGATCAGGGAGCAGAACAGGCAGACTGACAGAAATACACTGCTGAGGGGAGCAGCGGGGGAGACAGGAGAGGTCTGCAGTGCCATGTGGGTATCTCCCTGGCCGGCCAAGATAGAATCCACGCTGCAGAGGCTGTGGACAGCTTCACAGCACTGCGCTCAAACCTCCTGCGCCATCAGAGAGGTCCTTTTTTGTTAATGTTTCTTTAGGTTACTATCAGCCAATTTATATCAGTGAATCTGGATAATTTGGTACCAAACCCAAAAACATAATTTGTAGAAAAATGAAGCAAGTCTGCCTTATTGGAAAGAACCAGGACTAGGATAACACTCCCACACAAGGTAACACTTCTCAGCAATTGCTAAAAAGTAAGTTTCTTAAGATAAACAGGAAAGTTAGAGTTTCCACTTTTCAAATAATTCTTCTACAAAACATATTTGTAA